TGACTAGAAGCCTGTACTATCAACTATATCGATCCATATATCAGCAGTGTACCGCAGAACATGGTTCATAACAGGACTAAATAACTTTTCAAGCGGACTTTTCAAAGACTTTTATCCGGAATTCAAGGACTTTTATCGACTTTTATCGGAATTCATACACAGAAAAAACATGCCTGGATTAATTTAATAACCGCACATTCTAATAACTCACCTCTCAAAATAACTCTAAAAATACCTGGATCACATTAATAAACCCTTCTAAACACTGCACTGCTACAACCATACCTTATTTAACGAACTGATTTTACTGACTTACTGTATTTGTGATCATCATTTAACGCAATGTCTACGGTCTATATTTTAAGCTCATTTAATGGCAATTTTTATTGAGGTTTGCGAATTATGGCTGGTACAAAATTTTTTTTTATACAGCAAGGATTCTTTCTAAAAAATTCAAGGAATTTCATGAAAATTCAAGGGACTTTTCAAGCACAAAATCAACATTTATAATATTCAAGTACTTTTTAAGGACCCCTCAAATTCAAGGACTTTTCAAGGACTGTGTAAACCATGGCAAAACTTGCACGTCCAACCGATCGATAGCAGCTAGTTGGGAGATTAGAACATGTTCTAATTCGGCAATTCGCCAATTCAAAGTCGGTAGTGTAAACCCAGCTTTACATAACATTGCATTACATCAAGTGTAAGAAATCCAAAAGCCCCGCAAAGTCATTCAGCAGTGAAAATTTTTTTTTTTTTTTTTTACTTTTGTTCTATAGAGATATAGAGATCCAAATTTTTCGAGCATTACAGATCTTTAACCTAATCTATCTTCCGAATGCATACATGTAGCGCCCTGTATGATTTTTTTGTTATAATTTCATTTCATTTAGATCACACTGCGACTGTTTATGGTCAGTTTTTAGTTTTTATTACCACGAAGAAATCTTTGGAAGAATTACTAAGAACTGATCCAATGCTCGGCCGCAGAATAAAACACTGAAAACTCGATAAAAAGCCCAGGAAACTTTGGAGGTCAGAGAAAGGGTGGTGGACTGGGGAAGGTCTAACTTTGCAGGGTCCCTCTCCCCCCCCCACGCCTGACACACCGGAGAGGAAGGTGAGGGAGTGGCGGGTAACGAAACACACTACCATAACAAGCTCGCTCGATGCAAAACTAAAAAAAACGAAACGTATGCAAAAAACGCATTCGTCATCATCAATAATCGCAAACGAAAAAAAATTAGCACAAACGCATAGCACGAAGAGACGATAAAACGCAAGTAAAAATACAATCGTCAATCATACACGTACAAATATCATAACAATAATAATAATAACATACGAAACAAACAACTTGCATGCTGTAAATGAAAGCGTACATTCAATGAGGTTAACTAAGGATAATAATAAAATAATTAAATATAATAAAAAATAACGCAAATAAACGTTGGGTTATCGTCGCCGCTCGCCGTAACGGCGGCCATGCGTAAACATTTCCCGTCGTCATGGATACGAGCACGCCACAGACACTGGCCGACTACTTGCGATTGCTGCCACCGGAGGGCGGCACTCGTGCAGTGAGTGATTAGGAGGTCATGGTGCAGTCGGTGCTACTCGTCCCAGTTCTACAGGTTAGTCAACGTCTGCTGTTAGTAGTGCAGGCATGCACACACACACTCATGCACGCACGCACGCACGCACGCACTCACGCACGCACGCACTCACGCACGCACGCACGCACGCACGCACACGCACGCACACGCACACACACGCACGCACACATAAACACTGCCGTATATGCGCATGCATGTTATTGGTGTGCAGAGCAACTCATGCATGCAGGCATGCGCATACACACACATGCACGCAAGCACACATGTACGCCCAACCTAACGCACGCGCACGCACACACACATACACACAAGCACACATGTGCGCTCTCACTTTCACTCACACACACACGCGCACGCATGCAGGCGCATGCACGCACACACACACATGCACGCACACACACACATGCACGCACATGAGAATCCATGGGGGGGGATGTGAGGTAGTTAGCCTTAAGTGAATCAGAAGCCAACAGATATCACGCACGCACGCACGCACGCACGCACGCACGCACGCACGCACGCACGCACGCATGCACAATCCAACGACGACCACACCTCCGCCACGGCTACCTGACGAGCGAACAGCCTTCTCGCCGACTCACAGATGGCAGCACCTGTGTCGTCACGCGTCGGCACCGTCGCAGCGTCTGCGAGCGATCGTCGACGGCTACGAACGGCGCAAGAAAACCGACAACCAATCGAGACTCTCGATTCGACGGCGACGCGGAAAACGGTCGCAAAGCGCCACCTGGTGTTGCCGGCGCCCTCGCCCTGCTGCGACGCCGAAAATTCGCGCGAAACGAAGAACAATGGCCTCCTACCGTCCGCCAACGCCACTGGCTCACAGTGCCCAAAACCCCCTTCAGGTGGCGCTACTGGCACGCCGATCCTGAAAGAGAACGTGCGCGGCAAGTGGCGCCCACTGGCGGCCGTTGCGCGCGCCGCCTACCTGAAACAGAACTGTGCAGTGACACCAGAGGGGAGTGGAACGAACGCACAAAGCTAAACATACGAACAGCCCTACACGGCTACGCTACGGCAGGCACAGACGACCGGCCGAACGGCCGCTCCGTGATTGGCCGGCGGCAGGCTGCAAAATAAAAAATGGCGGCACGTCGCAACTGAAAAAAGTACACTCAAACACACCGACGGTGGGTGGAACAGGCTGGGGGTGGGGTTTCGCAGGTGAGGGGGTCATTGGTGTGCGTGAGGGGGCACAAAAATGCATACGAACGCACACGCACGCACGCGCGCACACACACACGATAATACGGTTGCATCCACCCACATAGCAGCTGCAAAAGAAATACATCCGGCAACGCAGGCAATGGAGGGGGGAAAAGGAGCGAGAAGTGAGCACGAAAAACACAAGAACGCCACGGCCGCGGCGCACCGAACCTCCGCCACCGACTGGAGGCGGCGCGCAAAAATCGTCCGGGATCCGCGAAAAAACACAAGAACGTCCTCGACGCGCGCGTGCTGCGCCGCCAGGGGGCGCCGCCGGTGACCCTACCTGCGTCTGCAGACGGGTGAGGCCTCGCAGCCAGAGGATCTGGCCGCTGCGAACGCCGTCGATCGACGGCCGCGTCGTCAAGTCGCCAGCAGAGGGCTCCACCTCCTCCGGCGGCTGCGAGCCGCACGAGAAGAACTTCTTCGAGAGGCTCTTCGACGGCATCGACGTGACGACCTGCAGCGATGCGGGGGTCAGAGGTCAAAGGTCGCTGCGGGGTCAGGGCGGCGGCGGCAGCGAGGATTTTCAGTTTTTTTACCCGATCGGTTTCGATTTTTTACGATTATCTTCTATTGTTATAATTGTTACCTAACCATTGTTATTATTAGTTAGATATTCGTTGTTTGGTATATTGTCATTTAATTATTATAAATTACATGTAGTTCTGACATTACGTGTTCATATATATATATATATGTGCAATATATGTAATATAAGTAATATCATTAACAAATAATATCAAACTCTCGCTAAAAAATAATTCGAGAAAAAAATCCGGCGTCGGACACTAAATCGTCGTCGGATTTCCGTCCGCCTCTCGCCAGGGGGCGCCGCGTGCTCACCTGCCCCCACAGGAGGTCTCCACAGCCAAGGAAGACGCACCAGAGCCACTGCTCGGCCGTGAGACTGGAGCAGGAGAACGCGATGCCGCCGTACTGCACGATGATCACCTGCAGCGGTAAAGAAGCAGTGATGACAGGCGCCAGTCTAAAGTGTTACCAAGCGCACAGGAAAAGTCCCTGTACCTGTCTATGTACGATTATATTTTGGCCGTGGCTACGCGTCCGGTCATATATTTCTTATGTGAACCCAACTATATTTTTTCCAGTAAAAAACAATAAACAATAGGTTTTTACCATAATATTACTTACCTTTAGGTATTTTATCAACAAAATGTTTTTGTAACTTTTGAAGCGACAGTAAATCAAATAAAATGAACGATTTGAAAGGGGCGTGGCCTAATCGTGACGTAGGTTTAAGAATCTGTACTGAGCTTTGTAATGGATGACCGGATGCGTAGCCACTGCGTTATATTTTACCTTGCTGTAGACTATTCCACATTTACATGCTTATACTTGTACATCCTATATATCTAGCTATACGATCCACACTGTAGTTTCTGGGACCCACCTCCCCCTCCCCTCCCCTCCTTCCCCTCCTTCTCTCTCTCCTCCACCTCACCTGAGCGACCATCGTGCCGATCCAGATGCCGTAGAAGATGGGGTTGCCTAGGATGCCCTCCCTTCCTCCTCCCCCCTCCCCTTCCCTCCTCCTTTACCTTCCTCCCCTCCCCTCCTCCTCCTCTCTCCTCACCTCCCCTCCTCCTCTCCCTCACCTGAGCGACCAGCGTGCCGATCCAGATGCCGTAGAA